TGGTGGCATGGACAGGTAGGAGCGAAGGGTCTGTTTCTGTGCAGTATGACTCTATGATACTTGGTAATACAGTGGAACTTTGAATTTTAGCAGATTTGTTTCTTCTGGAAGTGTTTGGCTGAGATCAGAATCAAAGAATGGTGAGATTTGGCAATGTCGAGAGATTTGAATTTCTGAACAGAACCAAATTAGAAAGATAACCAAATATTCCACTGCACCTAGATTATCAATTAGATCCATTTTTTGGACTGGCAACAATAATGCTCATTATCCTTCAGCATCTATTGCTTAAGATCATAATTCATTTTTAATTCATACATCACTTGGTGGCAAACACAAAAGTTAACCTTCATTTTTTTTTAAAATGGTTCCCTAGCACCCTAACACCAGCTAACTCATTAAACCAGTGGAGGAGCTTTGCTTGCACTTTTTCAATCAGATGACTAACAACAATATGACTTTCTTCAGAAAAGTTTCTCAGTGAAACCTTCATTTCAATCCTGCAATCTACGGGAGTCTAAAGTGCTTTACTGATGTACATCTATGTCACTGCACAGTTTGTGCATACATTTATGATGTCAAAATAAACAAGACTTTAGCCCAAACAGTTCTATGGATTACCACAATAGAAGAATTCATTTTATGGGTATGTAGCTTAGGTAGTTTTTTTTTTAACAATCCATGTATCTATGCAAGTAGTTTTTTATTTATTCTTGGTGTGATTTGCTTTCGAGTTCTGGATGGTGTAGCAGAGAAACCCTTGGAGTATTCTCTGTCAACAGTTAATCGGTTAAAACAGATGTCAGAAATAGTTGTAGCAAGACAGAATTGATTTAATTCTGAAGTGGCACAATTGGATCAACTTTAGCTGTTTCTGGCCAGGAGCAATTACATTCTGGAGCAATTCTGCTTGACTTAACACCTTTCAGATACAGACCAGGCATTTTGCTTGGGAGGAGCTCGAGATTGTAAGCGTGGATGAAGAAGTGGACATTGCCAAAGCTGCTCGTCTGTTTTCCAAATTGGAACAAAGTTAAAATGAAGGATATGCCATGAAAGGACCTGTCATTACTAGGCTTAACTTAGAGCCTAGTGACAGATAACAATATGCAACAGAAAACATCTTGTCCAAAAATTCATCAAAAATAAGTAACACAATTAACTAAAAATGTTAATAAAACTCTTACTAAACTAATGAGCCATATTTTTATCTGGGACAATCAACAGCAAATGACTCAAACTGCATTTGGTATCTTTGTTTTCAAAATCCTCCATGGCTTAACCCCTCCCTTTCTTGATAATATCTTCCCCAACCTACATATCTCTGGGATACATGGACTCCTCCAGTTCAGATCTCTTTAGCTAACTGCTCCATCATTGGTAACTATGCCCCATGGTTAAATATCTCCATTTCACAGTTTCTTTTTCCTTCTTTAAGACATTCCTTAAAATGTTTGTCTTTTAATTAAGCTTTTTCCATTTGCCTATGTCGGCTAAGTATTAATCTATGTTTGAAACCACTCCTGTGAAGCTGCTTGGGGCATTCAAGGTGCAATTCAAATCCAATTTTGTTTTATTCCTTTTATCACTTTAACACACCTCAGTAAAACATATGTTTGACTGACGAGTAATGAAGCTATTTTATTTGATCAGGATCAAACTGAAGTATCTGAGCACTGAAATTTAATTTGTGGTTTGAATATATCCCTGAATATCATGTGTATAATCAAATGATTTTTGTCTTGAATGTGCTCAATGATTATCTTCCTCACCTCTCCAGAGTGGAGATTTACCAAGATTCACACCCCACTGCTTGAAGAAATACCTCTTCACCTCAGTCTTCTATGGTTTGCCTATTATTCTAAGACTATATCCACTTGCTCTAGACTCACCAGCCAAGAGAAACCTCCTGTCTACATATACCTTTTCATGTGCTGTAGGAATTTTTAATAATTTTTAATAAGATAATCTCTGTGTCTTTGAAACTTTAGAGACTGCAGGCCCATTTGCCTCAAACTCTCCTCAGAAAAAAAATTCTGCTATCTTGGGGATTAGTCTGTTGAACCTCTGTTACACTGTCTGTATGACCAGTATATCCTTCCTTAAATTGTGAAACCAAAGCTGTGTGCAATACTACAGATACAATCTTTTCCCCCATACTCAAATTCCCTTCTGATGAAAGCCACCATTAACATTTGCCTTCTTAATTGCTTGCTACATCTGTGTGCTAACTTTGTGACACGTGATCAAGGACACAGCTCTTTTGGTCATCAACGCTGCCCAATGTGTCTGTCAGTCTGTTTCCTCTGTCTCGATAATTTCACATTATGTTCATGTTCTTGCCCATTCACATGGCCTGTCTGAATCCCATTGATGCCTGTTTGCATCCTCCTCATAATTTACATTCCCACGTAGATTTGTGTCATGAGTGAACTTGGAAATATTATATTTAACCTACTATATGCAAACCGATCAAAAGCTTTGTAAGGATCCAAGTTCACCGCATTTACTGATTCTCCTTTATTTATGATATGTTACCTCAACCAATCTGTCAAGCAGAAATCCATGTTCATGCTGCCCAATTGTATCATTCTTTTCCAAGTTATTACATTCTTTATGATAGTTTCTAACAATTTCCCAGCTACTGACTTCAAACTAAGGTCTGTAGTTCTCCACTTTCCCATCCCTTCCTTCTTAAATAGTAGGGCTACATTTGCTAATTTGCAGGCTGCAGGGACCTTTTCAGAATTATTCAATGCTATTTAATAAGCAATTGTGAAACCAAACTAGAGATAAAATGTGCTTTCAGAAATGTTTTAAGCCTTCAGTTGAGTGCAATGACAACAGAAGTCTCTTGAAGTAATGGGAGGGAAACAAATATGTTTAAATTAAAGTTTAACTTGCCGCAGATTCTTAGATACCAATGTAAAGAGTACAAGCAATTAACAATGGAATTAAAGTTTTAAAATCATTTGTGTTCATGAAAATGTTATGAGCAGCACAGAACATGACTTTCCTTCAGTGAACTGAGTCCTGGCTGCTTTGAATTAAGATTCAGCTCGTCAGTTTGTTTTTCATATTGCAAATGAGAATGGTTCCCTACAATGAGGGCAAATTGTCCTTGATCATTTGATTTATCAAGTATAAGGAACAGTTAGTTCCTCAGCATTACCAATGCCATGAATATCACCTGAATAACTTAATTTTCAGCTGAGAATGCATTCACATATCCTACAGCATTATGTACATTAACAATATTTCCTTATTAAGTAATGAATCTAAGTAACAACAATACAAGAAAAATTAAATTAAATAACAGAGCTGAATAAATGTCTGATCAGCATTGAAACTAAAGGCCTCATGACTTCTGTTCACCATGAGTCATCTTGTGAAGCTGCCTGTGCCTGTTTTAATCAGCAAAGCAGTGACAGTCCTCAAATGGCTGTTGCCTATCTTTGTCACTGGCACAGGCAGGCAGATCCCACTGATTTGAAGCACTTGATGTTTCTAATTAAATATAGCACCCAAGAGCAACATTGTTCAGGCTTAGGATGGGCATCCAGAATACATCCAGGTACAGCCTATTTGAAAATTTAGCCCCATGAAAGTGCCATTTTCCATGGACTCCATTGGGAGCCGGGGTGGGGGGTGGGGTGGGGCTTGCACTTTTTATCTACTTGAGGTTAGAAATCCAGGTAGTTGCAAACCTATTTCTAACGTCAAATGTGCTGTATTGCTAAAGCAACTTGCACAACATTTGCAAATGAATTCTCTGGGCTCAATTTTCTGGTAAAGGAGGCAGATCAGGAGCACCTGGTCCACTTCCCCCTGCTCTGAACCCCCTCATGATTTCAGCATGTCAAATCAAGCATCAGTCGGCTGATGGGAGTGCTGCCCAGCTGGCATTTGAAAGGTCAGTCATGTGCCCACTGGGCATCTCCGGTGGGACTTGGAGCAAGAGAGCGGTTAGGTTATGAGTTGGAAGTCACTTCTGGCCATAAATTTAAAGATGGCTTTCCTTCTCCCTGTTGCCTTTAATTATTATATCAGCCTATTTAAAAACTGAACCACTAAAATCCACCAGTAGCCAAACACTGCCACTTTTAGCAGCAAATTCTGAAGCACCGTGCAGCCAAGCACCTGTTTCCAGATCTTTTCATCTGTCCTTTTGCAGCTTTTTGCTACCATAACTCAGTGTCAATATTATTCTCAGGCAAAGAATGGATTGGGATTGAATAAATTGGCTTTTTAAGATGCTTAACAGTTTATTGTTTCAGTTTAAAGCAGAGTGGGGGCAGGCTTTTGAATTCAGCCACATAGTTTCTGCTGGGATGATGTTTTATTGTCATCCTGGTGTCCTCACCATATTTTAGCAAAGTGCAGGTTGGAGGGAGAATATGACCTGTCCAATTTGCAACTGTAAAATCCAGCCCTACATTTTTGACATATAATCCAGCACTTCAACATTGTTTAATTTGACACTGCACACAATACTTTGAATGGTTTGGAAAAATACTCACAAAAAGCTGTTGCTGGCAAATGCAACTCATTTTGGGTCAGTTGATGCTGTAAAAGGCACGGTGTCGGTTCACTATTAGCTAAACACCTGTCTTGATCTTCGCCTCCACTGAGGAATTTAATAGATGATTGAGCCGATAATGTCAAATTGACAATGATTCAATTTGAATTCCAGGAAAATCCGGAACTAAGACTCTAAGAAGCCAATAATCCACTGTCAGTTGTGGAAAAAACCAACCTGGTTCACTAATGCCCTTTAGGGAAAGAAACTGCCGTCCTTACCAGCAATGTGGTTGACTCTTTACTGCCCTCTGGGCAATTAGGGATGGGCAATAAATGCTGGCCTAGCCAGCGACGCTCTCATTCCATGAATGAATTTTTTTTAAATAATGCATGTTTCACGCTCTTGCAAAAAGTTTCCATGAGCCCCAAATCCAAGTTTTGTTTTACTTTGACTAACTGTTTGCTTTTCCATGACCTAGATGAATCCGAGCCACAGGATGAAGATGGAATTCTCAATGGTCGGGTTTCAAAATCTCACTGGCACCCTGTAAGCGACAACCAACTTGACATGACTGAAGATGAAAAAGAGCAGGGTAGCTTTCAACTTCCAAATGATATTGGTACCAGCAAGGAGGAGGACAGTTTCGAGGAGTACTCTGACTTGCCATATGACGAGCAAATTGAGGAAACGAATCCACGCCCGATGAGAGACCCATGGCACAGATATGAAGTCTATAACAAAGCACAAAGTATATTGGATCGTGGGGATGATTTTTCAGTGACAACTATACGGGACCACGCAGATAAACTTTCTGATCAGTCTGACGAAAGCATCACCTACTCAAAACCTCAGGGTAAAGATTCTAGTCCATCAGCACAGGGTTGTTATTCTGAGGACTTTGAAGCAACCTATTCCAGTAATGTAGACATTTTAGATTTGTCACATGATAGCAAAACAATAGGGTCTGATGGTGAGGTTAGAAAGGAGAAGCAAGACAACTCTTCATTTAATTATTCAATATTGCATTTCAATCAGGAGTTGCTGAGACACCTATCAGTTGAAGACCTAACAAGGAGCCCAGATCTTGAGGCGGAGACCATTCCAGAATCTTCATGTACGGACAGTGTTGAAGAGCCAATGGGTCGGTTTTCAGGCAAAGGGAAAGGTGTGGGAAAAGCAAATCAAGATTCTGGTTCTGGTAATGAAAATCAAAAAGATAAAAGCAAATCTGAGCTCAATAAAGCAGCATGTAGTAAACAAGTTAAAGTAGCTAATCAAGAAAAGCATCCTCCTACTCTTGATAAACAACTGATTTTAAAGGATGACACTGGTCAGATCTCTAAAGCAAACAGACAAATAAAAACACTGACCCCCCACAGGACAGCCATTAATCTGAGACCGTCAAGAAACAATTCATCCAAGCCGTTATCAAGAAAGATCACTTCAGAAACTTCAATGTATGGCAGAGGTCGACTTAATTACCCACTACCTGATTTCTCAAAAGTGGAGCCAAGAGTTAAATTTCCAAAAGATGAGCGAGCTTATCAGAAGCCCAGGAGTAAGAATGCCAATGTGCAGGGCAAGAGAAATGACCCTCAGTTTCTCCACCATTCTCCTGCAGAGATTGTTCGTCAAGTACTGCAAAGTAGCAATGAATGTTCGCCGATCACCCCTACCCCTTCAGGGGTAAAGGTTTTGGGAGAGTTCAAGTCACCACAGCAAGCAACAGAAATGGTTTATCAACTACAGGTAAGGAGATTGGAAATGTAACATCCTCTCAGGAGCTATGTAGAGTTAGTCAGATTAATGGTCGGAGAATTAATGGAAGGACATTTGTTAAACTGGCTCAGATTAATTGACAGGTTAGTTCAGAGTGAGGTGGTTAAGTGGCTTGAGTTCTGAGGCTTAATTTTCATCCTCACAGGGAAAGATAAAAGAAAGACTTGTATTTAAAAAGCACCTTTCCCAACCTCAGGATGACTCAAATTGCTTTACGGCCATTGAAAGATTTATAAAATGTTACCCTGTTAGACTGTAGGAAAAGAAGCGGTAGTTAATGTTTGCACAGGAAAATCTTACAACAATATGACAATAACCAGCTAATTTCTTGTTAATCATTGTTTGAGGGATAGTTATTGGCCAAAATACTTGTAGAGAATGCTCACTCTTCTTCAAAATAAAGTCATAAGATCTTTGCATCCAGCTGAGAAGGCAGGTGGGGCCTTGATTCATTGCAACGTTCCCTCGGTGCGGCTCTCCCTCCGTACCGCCCCCCCCGACAGTGCGGCACTCCCTCGGACTGCGCTGAGATGTAGAGTTCCTGGAAATAGTTGCACGGAGTCACCATTTTTCCAATGGAAAATCTTGAAGTGCAATTTAGGAGTAATGTTTTTGTACTGAGCACCCATAAATGAATATTTGTTATATTAGGAATCAAATACTTCACATGTTGAAAAGATACAAATGTATTTGCAATTTTAGCAGAAAAGCCGACATACTTAAAGCCATTACAAGTACCACATGCTGAATTGATTGGCAGAGGAATACTTCAAGGACAGTTCCTGCATTTTTTCCATTCATATCAATAATATGCCCCGTCATTGACTTAAGTTGCGACTCATGTGGTTTCTTAATGATATCCTTGCTAAAGTTATTACCCACATTTTATCAATGCTTCCCATTTTAATTTGTTGGCCAGAAATCGGCTCAAAAAGCATCGACATGAATTTTTCTAAAAGGTTGATAGAGAAATTTTAGGCCTATAGTCTCCAATAACTTATACGTACTTCCACAATTGATGTGAAAGGCAATCACAGAGCATCAGTGAGCCACAATCACTTGAACTTTTCTTGTTAACAGGAGGATTATCGCCGGCTCCTAACCAAGTATGCTGAAGCAGAAAATACGATTGATCGATTGAGGATTGGGGCTAAGGTAGGAGGATACCGAAAGCAAATGAAACAGCCAGATTTGAATGTATATGATGCTTTTAATGACCATCCGTCTCTAGGTGCTTTACAGTTCTTGAAATACATTTGAAGTATAGTCACTGTTGTAATATTGGGAATACAGCAGCCGATTTGTATACAGCAAACAGCGATAATAATGATCAGATATTCTGTTCTTTTCTGACATTGATTGAACATTGGCCAGAGCACCAGGGATAACTTCCTGACTTTTCTTTGAGATACTTCCTTGGGATATTTCAGGTCACCTGAGCAGCCAGCTCGAACCTCTGCTTAACGTCTCCGGTAAAAGGATGACATCTTTGACTGTGTAACATTCCCCGTTACTGTAGTGGTGAGTCAGCCTCGATTTTAGTGGCTAAGCCTTGGAATGAGACATAAATTTTCAGGTTGTGATTCAGATCGAAGTGTGCTCCAACTGATCCGTGATAAGCATGCTAACATATGAAGAAAATACTTTAATTTAGAAGTTACGGCTTGTAAGCCAGAAATTTTGACTAGTTTTGCTAACAATATCTGATGCCAAAACGGCCAATACAATGGCTGCTGGCATATTGCACAGACTAGTTATGCCCATGTCTTTCGAATGAGTAGGTTCTGCTGGGAACCTGATGCGCTTGCTACAGTAATTGACTGAAGTTTTTCCACTTCCATCTCTTCCACATTCTCTTGACCCGGAAAATTGTTCCGACTTTTCATTTGTTTGCCACGGGAGTTGAACATTCGAGACAGCAGCTTTGAAATGAGCTCTTTCCCTTCTTTGTTCAATTCCTGACAGACAAAAAACGTGTCGCAAAATGTTCTGCTGCGTCACTGGATGATGACATTACATTGCAGTGCTGTGTTGATGAGTGTGCACACTCATTGCTCCACTTGGTGGCAGCACTTGCAAGAAGCACAGCCTTTTGTTTTCAAGGACAAAAACAGAAGTTGCTGAAAAAGCTCAGCAGGTCTGGCAGCATCTGTGAAGAAAAACAATCAGAGTTGACGTTTCGGGTCCGGCGACCCTTCCTCGGAATGGCCTTTTGTTTTGATTTTCGTGTATGATAACCTAAAGCCGAATGGATGATAGCCACCAGTAAATCCAATAGAGAATTCAGGAGTATCTTCCTAACCAAAAGTACAAAAGGAATTCAGAACCTGCTGACAGAAGTAGTGGTTGTATCGAACAGCACAAAGAAATTTAAATGGCAATCAAAGAAATAGGAAGACAAAGGGTAAACCTACTTGGAAAGGGGTGGGAGAAGGTTTGACCACAAAGATTGGCATGCCCCAGCTGGACCAAATAGCCTGTTGAGCATTATGTTTAATGTAACATGAAATAAATACACTTGTCTACTCGATATATGGAGTTTGGTGGCATTCCATATAATAATTTAATTTGAAATGAGTTTCCAAGCTGCAATGCTGTGAAACATTTATCTACTCTCTGGAGTAGGTGGGGCTACTGGGATTACATGAATAAGACAATACATAGCAGTAGATTTGGACAAAAAAGGTCTTTATTTTACAGCAGCCTCTCACCGGGGAAGATTTTTGACACATGGCCACTTGTTTCTCACCTGGAAGCTGGACATTTTGCAAATGAATATTTGAGGCAAACACAAGGTGGTTAAGGTCGCGCTACTTCATTTCACTTGGGACTATTGTTTGGCAAAGAGAGAGCACACATCAGGGCTAGTTTCATCGTGTGGTTTAGGATTGGGTAGTGGTCAAACTCCACAGGGGATTATTTGCCAAAGCTTTGGGAATGTTGACTAATGCACAGCAAGAAATCTTTTGAGAAGAACTTCTCATGTTTTGCTTATTTTTGGTGGGGAGAGGAATCTCTAGTCTTGCGTGGATGCACAAAGATCATAAATTATTCTTTCCAAAGAGGTGATGTATGTAATTGTTCAAGGGCACATAAACAACACAATTAATGTGTTTTGCTTATCACACTGGTCACTCATAGAATCCCTTACAGTGTGGAAACAGGCCCTTTGGCCCAACAAGTCCACACCAACCCTAGGAGCACCCCACCCAGATCCATCCCCCTATAACCTAATCTACACATCCTTGAACACTATAGGACAATTTAGCATGGCTAATCCACCTAGCCTGCACACCTTTGGACTGTGGGAGGAAACCGGAGCACCCGGAAGAAACCCACGCAGACACAGGGAGAATGTGCAAACTCCACACAGACAGTCACCCAAGGGTGGAATCGAACCCGGGTCCCTTGTGCTGTGAGGAGCAATGCTAACCACTAAGCCACCATGCCGCCCCACTCAGTGTTAGCATAATTAGTTATGACCTTATCTCTTTACGCTATTCCACAATCTGACGTACACCTGGTTGGCATGTTAGCTCATAGAAATGATACAGCGCAGAAGGGGATCATTCAGCCCATCTTGTCTGTGCCAACCTGAAGACGTCGAGATGCCCTTTCTAATCCCATCTTCATGTATATAGCCCATAGCCCTGCAGTTTACAACACTTAAAGTGCAGAACCAGTTACTTTTTAAAAGATTTTAGGGTCTCTGCCTCCACTACCAACTCAGGCAGCAAATTCCAGACACACAAAAACATTTTTCCTCGCTTAGGTTGTGCTTAGGTTGCTCCTGTTTCCTGTATCTGTCCCCCTCACAATTTTGTTTACTGCAATCATGTCACCCCTCAGCTTTCTCTGTTCTAAGGAAAACAACTCTAACCTCTCCAGTGATAGTAAGAACTGCAGGTGCTGGAGTCCGACACAACACAGTGTGGACCTGGAGAAACACAGCAGGCCAGGCAGCATCAGAGGAGCAGGAAAGTTGACATTTTGGGTCAGGACCCTTGTTCTTCAGAAATTGGGAGGGGGAGGGGGAAGTGAAAATGCCCTCAAACACATCTCTTGCATTTCCTGCACTTCTGCCCTCACATCACCTCCCCCAACAAAAACAAAGACAGAATCCCCCTGGTTCTCACATATCACCCCACCAACCTCCACATCCAGCGTATCATTCTCCACCACTTCCACCATCTACCATCCAACCCCACGACCAAAGACATATTTCCCTCCTCACCCCTATCTGCCTTTCATAGGGAACGTTCACTCCACAACTCCCTCATCCGCTCCACATTCCCCACTAGCCTCACCACCCCCGGCACCTTTCCCTACAACTGTAGGAAGTGCTACACTTGCCCCTAAACCTTTCCCTCACCTCCATTCAAGGCCCAAAGCAAACCTTCCATATCAGACAGATGTTCACCTGCACATCATTCAACTTAGTCTACTGTATCCGCTGATCCCGATGTGGCCTCCTCTACATCTGTGAGGCCAAGTGGAGGCTTGGAGACTGCTTTGTAGAGCATCTGCGCTCTGTACGCGACAAACAACAACACCTTCCAGTTGCCAACCATTTTAACTCCCTCTCCCACTCCGTGGATGACATGTCCATCCTGGGCCTCCTCCAGTGCCACAAAGACACCACTCGCAAACTGGAGGAGCAACACCTTATATCCTGCCTTGGGAGCCTACAGCCCGATGGCCTAAACATAGAATTCACCAGTTTTAAAATCTCCCCACCCCTAGCCTCATCCCATGTTCAACGCTCCCTCTCATCCCTGCCTCCTTGACCTGACACTCAACCTGTACATCTTCTCTCCCGCCTATGCACCCCTCCCATCCCACTGACCAATTCCCATCACTCTCTACTTACACTCACCTATCACCATCCTGCCTACCTTTACCAGCACCACCCCTCCTCTCTCTATTTCTGAACTCCCTTCCCCCTCCCCATTTCTGAAGAAGGGTCCAGACCCGAAATGTCAACTTTCCTGCTCCTCTGATGCTGCCTGACCTGCTGTGTTCTTCCAGCTGTAATACTGTGTTACGTCCAACCTCTCCATTGTTGTTTGCCATTCTCACCAGTGTCAGTAAAAGAGATTTTGCCCAGGCCCTTTCTCATGTAGTATTAAGTAACCAACATTGATGTATTCTCTACTCTAACCTCAGACCTTATAAAGAATTACAAGCCTTTTTCCCCTTTTGTTCCCAAACTATTGTAAGAATTGCTTGGAAGCCCCATCTTCTCCGAAACTGCTGACATGGACTTCCTGCAACTTCAACGTTCAGTGCATTAACTCTTGCATGTTCTTTTGAATCCTTTTTGTCACCTGTAACACAGTCAATGTAAATTCTTAGCTACTACTCAAACCTTCCCCATTACATGGTAGGTGCTGGTAGTACATAGCCATGTTGGAAGGGGTTAATGCATTAAGTTGTCATTTCAATCTGCAGCAGGGAGCTGACATACTGTGGCAAAGTGCTTTCAGGGCTGTTGTAACTGCTTGGAGCTCCATAATTGACTGTGTCAACATAAAAGCTGTAAGAATCCATCTTGATCAGTGTTCAGTTATCTGCATTTAGCAGCTTATTTGGGCTGATTTCTGTCAAAACATGAATGAAGCAAGACTGAGATAATGGTGATTGCTCACGGTGCTCAATGGTTTTCCCTCATCTCTGCTTGAACTGATAAGCAGATGATTTTCCTTCATCAGCCCTTCGTTTGTTAGATGCCTCATTATAACAACCACTGCCATTGGATGGAAAGTTTGTAACAATGCTGGATATATCATAAATTTTATTGAGTCAGTTTTATGTTTGCATTAGCACAAGTGAGCAGCTCCTGAGGATTGTAAGGAATTGTTTTAGCATTCTTAGCAGAGCCAAAAACACACCCTACCGTCTCCTCCTTTAGACAATGTTCTATAATGAAGCAATGTATAATCATGAGATAAGGTATAAAATGAATTGTGACTACAAACTCATTGTGGGTAGGTGTGTTTAAGAGTCCCCTAAGTATCTTAATTATTGAAACTGCTCTCTGAACAGACACACCTAGTGTAACCATTGACTCAGAGTTAAAATCCAGGCATGTCATTGATCTGAATGGCACACGCTACAAGATAGTAATTCAGGTGAATCAAAGTAACACTACACCA